TCACTTAATTTCGTTTATTTTGTATAAAATTATAATTTTGAATAAAGATAATTTGCTTTTGACTTGTTTGATATATACAGTATTTTTATTGATAATTTATTAAATTCGGCTAAAAAAAAAAATCACCCATCCGGGGTTTTTACAAAATTTCAGCCCAAAACCTTGGGGGGTAGTTTACATGGGGGGGGGGGGTAGTATAGTCAGTGCTCTACGGTAATTAAATATATACATTAGTTTTTTATTAAATAGTATAAAGTTAAAATAAATTTTATATGAAATTCAATGTTCTTTATTTTTATTTCCCAAGTGCAATCAATTTTAATAAATCAAATATCAAAGTTATACATAACTAAGAAAAGTATATTTAAATTGGTGAAACGATTGCAGGAACCTTAAGACGTTCAATAATAAGAAAACTATACATTTGTTCAAGTTGTAAGTGATCAAGGTCATCATGTTAGACCTCACAACATATTCCCAAAAATGAATAATATATACAACATCCACTCGAGTGGTTAATATTAATCAAGATTCTTATTCATCTCTCGTACATTCCAACTATATATCCAGTCGACCGCAATGTTTTTCCGAAGATGCAAGTCATCCTTGTGAGTTCTGTTCAATTCCGTGAACAACTTCTTTTTCAAATTCGAAAAGTCATGTTGTACACCAACAATCTTGTTTTTATGGTATTTGACAATTGTTTTATAGAGGTACGAACAAGAAAGGAAAGTCAAAACTAAGTCGGAATTAACCTCATTGAGCAAGACAGAGTTTATGAGGTGAACGGTGGCCGAATTGATTTTGACAAAGGGAAAGGTAAATGTGTCGTTCGGCTGCATTTCGATACCCATGCTATTTAGGTTCATTTTAAATAAGTGGGCTCGCAATTCAAATAGGTCAGATCCGTTGTATTTCGGTCGGTTATGTTCATTATATGGTTTATTGCCAGTGCCAACATATTTCGGAGTTGCTGATGGATGAGGAACGTTGTCAAAAATCGAGCGATGACCAAAATGGTTATATAAATGGTCTGTTCCAACTTCTTTTCGAAATCCAGAAGGGCAGAGGACCAACACCAATTTTGGAGAAATGACGTAAAACGAATGGTAAGCATATTGAAATGGGAATTTCCCAAAAACCATCCCATTTACTCCTTCGAAGATTCCAAATCCGTTGCTGGTTATTATAAACTCGTCATTTTCACCAGCCTGCCAAATGATGAGAAAACTATCGATCATGCGATGCTTGAAGTCTTCCCTATCTAGGTCAAAGATTTTCTCGTTATCTTTGACTTCTGAATATGGTGTGTCTAATATTTCGCGGATGTTCTGTAACCATACTTCTGCAGGTCTTTGTAAATTGTGCTGCTGCATAAAAGTTGTTACCATCAACTTTGTGGGGATATCAAATTTATCGTTAGCATACTGAAAATATCGCTGACTGTTTCGATAGTTCATAATGAAGATGAACTTGCGTAAATCTTCGAGATTTTTCCTAAGCAAAATGACCTGATTTTCCATTTGAGATGTTTTCACAATATTGCGAATCGTCTCTGATACACTTCTTTCGAGTTTAGATAGTTTTGCTTCTACGTGCATCGCGTCTTCATTATTGATATCTTTGTACATATTTGTTCTTCCATAGGTTTTACTAATAAAAGAGACGCGCAGTTGATCTTCCTCTCTAACGTAAGTTTGGATAAGCTCGGCTTTCCTCTGACTTTTCTTTTTCTGCTGGTTTATGTTGCTCTCAAATATCCTCTCATAATTGTCAATAGCAAAGTTACGTAGAAGGAATCTCGGAATGTAGTGGTGGTATTGTTCCGTTTGTTCCATTATATCGTATAAAGAATTGCTAATGCAAGGATTATATTTTTGTGAATGCGAAAACTTATCATTAAGTTCCCAATTTATTTACAATACAAAGTTAAAAAACAAGGGGAATCTTATTCTGTTCTGGTTTTAAAAACAAAAATTATATATGTAATACTGATCACATAAGGTTCAGAGATATGTAATACTGATATGATTAATCCTAAGTCACATGATACCTGTAATTAATTGCGCATTTTCACTATGAATCCGAATAAATAAATGATCAACATACATAAATATTAATTGAATTTGAATGTTCCGTTGATTATTTATCTAATGGAAGGGCCTAAAGTTTTGACATTTGGTTCTATCAATATTGTTAGTACAATACTCTGCTTTTGAAATTAGGTAACTTTGAGAATAACTTCTGTTTGCTTTAAATTAATTAGGACGAGTTTTTCGAAGTTCCTCATATAGTTTCAAGTGGAGAAACTATAACGAGCAGTAAATATTCTCAAAAAGCTGGAGGAAAAGGTATATCATTCATTTTGTTATTTAATCTATACTTTTGTTATTGATTTTCTTTACACAATTTAGGTGCAAATCAATCAGTTGCTTTAGCAAAGGTTCCCAAAGTTTGAATTTAAATGTTTTTTGATTACCAGATTTTGTGACGAAATTTCTCTAATAAAGAGTATTTTTCTAGGCGGGTGCATTCGTATGGCATGCAGGGAAAATCGGACGTGATGGCACATGGATCAAGGAATATATGAAAGAATTTGGAGTTAAGGTGGATCATATAATTATTTCGGAAGATCAGGTATTTTGTAAAAAATAATAAAATAAAATTGAAGAAGGTGAATAATCTTTGTCTGACTTAAACTTTTTATTCTAGCCAACGGGACGCGCTTTTATCCAAATTTCTCAAGAAACGCGAGATAATTCTATTGTTCTTCTTCCAGGAACAAATCACATGATTAGTTTGAACGAAGCAAGTAAAATTTTAGACCGGGAATTTGGAATAGGAGATTGGGTTATTATGCAAAATGAAATTGGACAAATTGGAGGCGAAATTTTAAAACTCTGCAAGGAAAAAGGTACGCCATTTTCATGTCATATCAGCCTTGCTCTTTTCATTTCATATTCCTTTATATCTTTATATTATATTTATATTTTTATATTTTTAGGGCTCACGATTGTTTTCAATCCAGCACCAATTTCTGAAAATATCATCACAGTATTTTCATTTAATCTCGTAGATTATTTAATCGTTAATAAATTAGAAGCTTTTCAGCTTTATAAACAAATAAGTGAATCGAATTGCGATGACAAAAATATTTCTGCACAGGATTTACTTACATTTATATCAAATGAGTATCAACAACTTATTGGAATAATCATCACTTTCGGAAGTGAAGGACTATACGCGTGGTATAGACCAGAACATAGAATGTTTAACCTTCCTGCATTTAAAACGGAAGTTTTGGATACGACAGGGGCAGGCGATACATTTGCAGGATATTTTATAACTTGTATAGTTCGAGAACTTAAATGTAGGAAAAATGATGGATCCATTCCTATCACAGATGTCAATTCTTCTATGAATTTACCAACAGCGGAAGGTTTTCTAAATGCATTGAAAGAGGCTACCGTCGCAGCAGGTCTGACTGTTAGTAGACTTGGTGCAATGGAAAGTATTCCTTCATTTAGTGATGTTCAAAGAAACAAAACCATTTTTGATATTGAACTACAGAAAAGAAAAATTATGTGATATTTAAAATCAATTCTCCCGCAGTCAAAATGGTGTTGGAATTAAGAAATCACGATTACATAATCTATTTAATAAGTTTACTTTATATACTTTCTACTAAATTATCGAGCATTACTTCTGAAACCTTTTTTTTTTTTTTTATAATAATTAAAGTTGAGAAATTAAAATTGCATTTAGTTATAAGTCAATATCACGTGATTGGTGTGATCTTGAGTGACGAAATAAATGCATAAAGAAACTTTCTTCCAACAAATTCTTTTTCAGTTCTTAGACATTCACATTGTTCTAATGGAAGTCACTCAAGTACAAGAAAATTACTGCAAAGAAAATTATCCTTCATGGAATATGCTTGGTAATAATTTGCAACTCAAACCATTAAAGGATGCGAAATTTTCACTAAAAAATAAAATATTATCTTCAACACACGTGCAACCACCATTGAAGTATACTCCATATGATTCAATCTTACCACAAAAAAGTCATGACTCTCAGGGTTATGATGGTTTATCAGATATCGAACCATTGGTACCTTTTAAAAAGGACACTATAATATATCTTGATCATAAAAGTACAAATGAAAAGGATAATAATAATAATGAGATAATAAGTGGGGAAGAAGAAGGAAAGAAAGACGATGTGTTTGCGATAATAATTGATACCAGGAGTGATAATTATAAAAGTAAATTTAAAAATGAAACATTGTTGAATTATGATGATTATTGTTTTATTAATGAGAATTCAATCATTTATGAAAGAGGTACCAATTGTATACTTAGTTACGAGGAAGTGGAACAAAATGATGATGATGAAATAAATAATCTTGATCAAAACGTGGACAAAAGGTATGAAAAATACCTCTTTTTTTTTTTTTTAAAAAAAAAAAAGATAATAATAAATAAATAAATAATTTGCTAATTACTTTTATTAATAATTTTCTAGTTTAATAATATCAGTAAAAAAATGTTTTAATTGTTTATCACCACATCATTCATATAACGATTGTCAATTACCTTTAAATCAAGAATTAATTAAAATAAACCGAGAAAAGTTTAATAGTATTGGTGGTCAACAACAATTTAATAGTAGATATTATATTGAATATGAAAAAGATCTTATTTTTAATATTTTTTCCCCAGGCGTTATAAGTGATGCGTTAAAACATGCTTTAGGGATATTGGAAAGTGGTGATGAGCCTCCTTATTATAAGAGGATGAGAGTCTTTGGATATCCTCCTGGGTATTGGGGAGATAAAGTGGGTGATGGTAAATAAAGAAAAGATTTCATGCTTTTCTTTCTTTTTAAAAGGGATTGTTAATCTTATATCTTTTTATATATATATATAGATCCTCTGAAATCTAAAAAAGACAGATTATCTAAATTGGAATTAGAGAATTGGAATTCCGCAACATTAAAAATTTATGGTGATGTTTCAACAGATGATGATTCTGACAATTCAGAGAATGAAAAAGAATCATCATCAGAAGTAGTGGAGAATTGTACCAATTACGACAAAAATGACATTATAGATCAGGAAACCAAAAATACTCAGGAGCCTCAACAAGAAAAAAATAAAAAATTTCCATTAGTTTATTATCCCGGATTAGATTTAGATTTCTCCAAATTTGAAAAGACCAACAAGACTATTAGTAAAAGTAATTTAAATAATAATAATAATTTACCAAAATTTAATGTTGAAGGACATTCTACATGGTATCCTACTAATACCGAAGGTTATTATCAATATCATTGGACTATCCCTGATTGGTATAATAATGGATATTCGGGGAATGCATGCAATTGGTGGTATAATTACCAAGAGCCACCACATACAATTAATAACAATATAGAGCAACCACCGCCTCCCGGAACTACAAGTAATCTAGGACAACTTCAACAACCTCCTTCATCTTGGATAATAAGTAGTTTAGAGACGTATCCTCCGCCTCCCGGGATAATACCTTTAGCTAGAACATTTAATGATTCTCAACAATCGCCTGTACATAATGCATCATTCTTGCCATGTCAGAATGTCCCATTTTCAATACCTTCTTTATCTGAACAAATACAGCAGAGATCTGAAGATCAAATTATGAAAAAAAGTAATCCATACAACAATATCGAGATTCCGAATGTTGAAGAAGATATTGATATGGACCTTTCTGAATAAAGTGATTATTTTGAGCTTCAGAAAAGAACTTATTAAATAAATAAATAAGTAAATCCAACTTGTAAAGACTTTATTATTATTAATATATATTATTTTTTTTTTTTTTTCCTTGCATTGATGATTCTATATAAATATATTTTACGTATTTTATCGTGTATCGTTCATTAACTTAAAACATTTTGTAAATTTGTAAATAATATATAGAAAATAAAAATGTAAATAAAATTTAAGCTAATCCGACCTTTTCCATTTCCTAATTAATAAAAATATAAATTAGATAAATTAAATTTAAATTAATAAAAAAAAAATAACAAACATTTCTTACTTCTCTTAAATGAATGCCAAGTCTGGCGGGACTCTTTGATACAACTACTCCGGCATTTTCTAATGCTTTGATTTTATCAGTGGCACCACCTTTACCACCAGCTATAATAGCTCCTGCATGTCCCATTCTACGACCTGGTGGTGCAGTTAATCCTGCAATAAAAGATACTACAGGTTTTGGTTGATTACGAGTCATATTATGCTGTTTCAAATATTCTGCTGCTTCTTCTTCAGCAGTTCCACCAATTTCTCCAATCAATATGATACCTAAATACGAGGGAAAATGATATTGATCTTGTAAAAATAAAATTCTTATATAAATTCTTTTTATTTTATTAAATGCAAACCTTTCGTATTTTCGTCTTCCAAGAATAATTTTAAGCAGTCTACAAAGTTAGTTCCATTAAATGGATCACCTCCAATACCCACACATAAAGTCTGTCCAAGATTTACTTGGGTTGTTTGATTGACGGCTTCATAAGTTAAAGTTCCTGAACGCGAAACGATACCAACCTTACCTTTTTGATGAATATGACCTGGCATAATTCCTATTTTACACGCTCCTGGTGCAATAATACCAGGGCAATTTGGTCCTATAAGGCGTGTTTTATTTTGAGATTTCAATGCTTTCACAACCTATCATTATTTTTTTCACTCGAGTTAATATAATTTACGTAATAATATATTTTAAAAAGTATACAATGCACCTTGACCATATCGCGTTGTGGAATTCCTTCAGTGATAGTAACGATCAAAGGAATTTCGGCTTCAATACTTTCCAAAATTGCTGCAGCCGCAGCTGGTGGTGGCACGTAAATTACTGTAGCATCCGGTTTTATTTCTTTAGCTGCCTAATCAAACAATAATATTATTAACTACAACACAGAATCTTTTAATAAGATAAAAAAAAAAAAAATTCTTAAATAATTTCCCATCATTACTTACTTCCTTTACAGTATTGAAAACTGGTAATCCCAAATGAGTTTGTCCACCTTTTTTGGGTGAAATACCACCTACCATATTAGTACCGTAAGCAATTGCTTGTTCTGAATGGAAGGTTCCCTATTGATAGTATTCATACGAGAAAGCAAAAAACCAATCAAATTAATTTAAAAGCCTGAATTCGATCATAAATATCAATTATAGTGAATCAATTTCAAAATTAGAATTTGTTTGAAACGCGTTATTATAATTCGCGAACCTTTTTAATCTGACAGCAAAAACAATTAGCACCAAAAAAATAGCTCTAACCTGCTTTCCGGTAAACCCTTGGCATATAACACGAGTGTCTTTAGTTAGAAGCATATTTTTAACGGTATCTTCATAGCTAACAGCCCGAACAGCACTATAAGTAAAGCCTCTTTGTAATGCTAAAAAAAAATATTGCTCCAAATTAATATCACGGTGCCTGCATTACGTAAAGAATGTATTATTAACTTACTGGGCTGCAACTTTGGTTTTATTGAACGAAAGAGTGAATTCTTTAAGCTGATCATTTTCAAATATTTAAAACAAAATTTTCAAAGTTCACGGATATCTTCTATCCAATTTTCAGATAAACTAGATATATATCCGAAATAAGATATTTGAGATTTGAAGAGTCAACTATTGAGATCCGTTATATTCCGAGAATCCAATATAAATAAAAATTTTTTTTTAGGCCCCACGTGACTTCAATAATTTATCATCTGTGTCACATCTCTTTACGTGAAAATTTACAAATGTTACTAATCTTAATTATGATCTTATTTTGATCATCTTTTTTTTTTAAAAAAAGAATTTAGAAATGTTTAAATTTTGAAACAATGTTATCAATAAAATCCCATCAAAACAAGCTTGTTTGATCGCCCTTGATGATCGCGATCAGCGATCAACCATGATAATGTGGAATTTAAAGAATAAACATTACACGAGTATTGTGCAATGAAAACTTAAATCAAAGAAATTAAAATTTACCGCGCCAATAGAAACTTTATTTACATTATAATAATTTTTAAAAAAATCATGGAAACTTTATTTAATTATACATATATTTATCTATTACATTAACAATACCATAATTATACGAGGACAATTGTACAACTCATATGACAAGACCAAAGATCAGAAAGCAATAAATAAAATCAACTTACGA